TTTTTCATCAATTCAACATACCTCAGAAACCATAGAACATAAACTTGAACGAATAGTTTCATCAGCTGTATTCGGTGCATTAATTCGATCAAAATAAGTCTAATAAAAGAGAAAGAAAATTTTTCTTTTTTATACTTTTTACATTAAAATTTCATATTTACCATTTTATAATTATCAAGTAATAATTTAAGTTCACGTTCTAATGGTTTATGTAGAATTAAACGCATAAAATCAATCCATTCAGCATCTGTAATTGTTACTTTCGATGCTGATTGACGTTGTCTATTAAAACACAAAAGAAAAAAAAAGACAAATCAAAATAAATGTTTTATATAATCAATGGATAGTTACTTAAGCAGATTTATCTGATTCGTATAAGCAGCATTATAAGATTTTTTATTTTTTGTTTCTGATGGTGGTGGTACTAATAATGTAGATGAAGAAGCCATTAATGTATCAAGAATTTGTGGACGTTGACTAGCAGGAAGAGTCTATGATGGACGAAAAATAAAAAAAGATTTGATAGAGAAAAATGATTGGTTATATATATATTTTTTTCCTTACAAATGGTATAGATTTATGTGGACAATCTTCTGATGATGATAATAAACAACAATTAGTTGTAGATTTTCTTTGTTCACGTTTTTGATTCGAATTTATAATTTTTTCTTCATCTATTGTTGTATTTGTTGCTGGTAAACATAATGGTGGTGGTGGTAATTTTTTTGATCGTGCTAATAAATTGCTTGATGATGAATTTATTTTCATTTGTACTGAATCATCAACTGCTGTCATATTTCGTATTTGTTATTTATCGACAATCGTCAAAGCTTTGCAGAAGAAAACAAAAGGAAAGAAAAAAGTATCATTATGGAAACAAGTTTTTTTTTTCTAACATTGTAATACTGACGTCTGTCTTCTAGGATATATAGTCAGAAAATAAAATTTACCATAAAGTTCACTATGGATGCGCTAGAGGGTGCTATAATGAAAGGATAAATGTCAAGTCAAGGTTTTTCTATTTTGAAATATAAAAACATTTAAAAAATTTTTTTTTATATTGTAAACGGATTAATTAACATTAGTAATAAATAATTTATTTGTTGAAATTAACCAATCATTTTACAGATAAATTGTCTCTATTATTATAATTTTTCCAGCTGTATGAATCATCAAAATCCAATGTCGAACTAATTAAAAATTAATTCATGCAGTTAGAATGAAACTCATTTTGAAAAAAAAACCTATTTACATCATTGACAAAGATTATTTATTATATTAAATTCTTCTCATCAACTAAAATTAGGAAGTTGGGTTTTAGCGACATCTCACATATGAATTATTCTTAGATAAAGTCACAGTAGTGTAGGATTATCCTTTGTGTGAAATTCATCTTTGCTAAACATAAAATATATAAATGAATATACTGTCTAATTTAATATATTTCTATCATAATTTCTTTTTCTTACGTTTCTCGCAAATTCAAATGTCGCCTTACTAAATGCGTTTCACATTGATTTATATTTTTCGCCACGCTTTATATCAGTAGGTCACATACAAATATGAAACACATTGTTATCTGCTGAAAATCTTCTTCTCAAAGGAAATATTCTGAATCTAAACGACAAACAAAATCAAATTATGATGAATGATTGATTTTGAAATCATTCAAGTGTAATATTCATTATAAATTAATATTTTGATTAATAAAAATATCAAGGTAAAATTAGGTAGAAAATGAAACTACAATTTTGATTAATACTTATATAAAACTGTTGTATGGTGATATGTGTAAATTGATTACTGTTCTTTTTCTACAAAATAAAAAAAAAGAGATAGTTGTAACTTCAAGTTCAGTAATTATAATAAAACAACTTGTTGTTTTCGATATAAGGTTTTGTTTTATTTTTAACGCCCTTTGTTCTACAGAAAACATAAAAATAATAATAATAATATAATTAGGACGTATAGCAAAAATAAACGAAACTTATCGTTTAGATGAAACAAGATAAAGAAAAAAGAGAAAATAAATCATAAAATAAACGCAAAATATATAAGGTAGACGTCTGAAGAAACATCTATATACTGATAGTACAATATCCACCACTATGATATCCATTTACCACTATGATATCAACTGACGCCATAATCACATACAAATATAGAGATAAATGAAAAACTGAGAACATAAGCAGAAGAAAAGAAACAAAAAACAAAGTCTAAAGTCTAAAAATTACATTTATATACAAATTCGTTTCTTTTTTTCAAATAAAACATAAGCCATGTTGACACGCTTCACAATGAAATTTATCATGTGGTGCACGCATTTTTCCTATTCGTTGATTAGGATCATGACGTGGACGTTGAGTAATTCGATTCATATTTTGAATCATTTTCGTGCCTTGTAATACATTATAATGAATCATTTTAGGAAAAAATTCATTAAATATTGATTGAGTTAAATTTTTCATAACACGACAAATTTCCTCTAAAACAAAGAAAAAGAGAATTTATTTTTTGAAAATATATTAAAATAATAAAAGAAAGATGGATTTTTTTTTTTTTATTAAAACTTACCAGTATACCATAATGGATCAGCTACAGTTTCACATTGTTGACAAATTTGTCCAAAAATCTTAAGTATAACAAAACCATTTGATTGCGGTCGACTAATTTTAAATGATATTCGAGCACGCATTGATGTCCATAAACGACCACAGCAAGTATTTGGACATTTAAATTGTGCTTTTGCATTATCAAGTTTTACAAAAGCAAAGCCAGGCCATTTACATGGATCACTATGAACTTCATTTTCGGAGAAAAGATAATATTGTATATTAGGATAATTTATAGCAAGCGGACAGATTATATCACGAGCAAATTCACCATGAAATATTTCACATGCATTCGAACAAATATTCTTTTTTTCACTATCTGGTACATTTGCAGCAAGACAAACTAAAAAGAAACGATATTTAGTATTTTAATATTACAAGATTTATGAATTCATAATAATCAAAAATAGTAAATATTTTTATTTACCATCGTTATAAAGGTCGAAAGGTTGTTGATATATTAATTGTTCACTAACATTTAATATTTGATTTATTTCAAAATCTTCATCATCACAGGCACCAAATTGTGTTGATGGTTCATCATCGTCAATATTATTTGATTGTGATGGAACAAGATTTATAACTTGTTGATCAAAATCTTCAATACCTGAATCATTATCACTTGTTATTTGATCATGTTTATTTAATAATTCTCCTATATGTCGATGATCATTATCAGATGTTATTTCGATTATATTATGATTTTCAGCTGATGACCATCGACGAAGTTTTGATCGAGTCATTTTATCTGTACTTGAATAACCTGCTGCAGAACTATGTTGACGATGAAGTAATAACGAACCTGTCATATCAGCTAGTTTTGTATTTTTTTTTAAATAAACGACAATATATCTTTTTTTAAAATCTGAAAATAAATGTGGATATGGATCTTATATTTATATGTAAAAAGCAAAAAAAAAGGCTAATACAAAACCATTGGGGAAAATGCAAGTCAAGAGTAATGCATAACAACAAATAGAAGAAGGAAGAGAAGGAAAGAATGAATGAAAGAATGATTGTGTTGAGACACAGGAGATTTTCGTTTCCCCGAAAAAACAGAAAGAAAAAAAGGTGAACCTACATCAATGTGAATGTCTTTATTAAGAATGAAAAAACTTCTTTTCGTAAGTTTAAAAGCGTAGAAACAATCTCAATATGTTTTGCCAGGTTTGTTTTTGACAAGATGAAAGCAAAAAATGAGCAAGAAGAAAACGGTATTACTTGGAAAAAAAACACAGAATAGGGAAAGAAAAAAAAGGTTTTTTCCCATTTTGACCTTTCTCTATCTAAGAATAGTCTTACATTTTAATGATGAAATTTCCAATGACGTGGATGAATGATGCAAGATTAGAAGAGAGAGAACCAATAATCGTTTTCTGTCTTATGCCTACCGTACGATTACAAATATGTCTGCTAGAAGATACGTTTATATATTTATATAAGAAGTAGAGAAAGAGAAAAAAGAGAAAATGATGTTCTTTTATCGTTCTTGCTCAACTATTACAATTTTTTTTTTTGTAGAAATCAATTTTTCTTTTCTTTTATACTCTTTTTCTCACTATGAAGTATTTATTGCTAAATTTCCGAGTTGTTGTAATGACATGTTAGAGATATGTAATCTTTTTTATTTTGAAAAAATAAAAAAACAGAATGTTGGCAATAACAAATGAATTGATAATGATTGAATTGTTTTTTTTTCCTTTCTATTTATAGTTATTTATTTTTAATAAAAGAATATAATCGACAATTGTCTTATCAAAAAACAAAAAACAAGACAAAATAATCATAGTTTTGCGAAACGGTTGAAGATTCATTCTTCTTATTTATTTTCTATGCGATACACAAAAGACATGTATCTTGCATAAACACCACGTCATATCTAACAGATGACTAAAACCTATGAATCATACGTATTATCTCTGACAAAATAGATTCTACGATCTAGGAAATCATTCATATGATATAATAAATACAAGATTTAAAAAAGAAAATACTAACATAGATGTTATTTTTTTAAAAAAATCTGTTTAGATCTGCTTTCATAAGAAATGTCAACAGAAGAATTGTCGCATATCATTCATTATTTAAGTGTCCTTGTGTTTTTTTTACAATTTTTACCGGTTGACAAATATTTTTAGAAGTGAATAAAATTAAAAAAGAAAATAATAGAAGGTAGAAATTTTTTATAAAAATAATAAAAAAATATATATGTATTATAATGATAAATCAATCTCGACGATTGAGAAATAATATTCAATTTTATCAAATATATTTGCTTAATCATTTTTGTTAATAAAACAAAAATTTCTTTTTGTATCTGATCATTACATACGGATTATTGTTGTAATTTTTACATAATAAACACTTGAATGAAATTTTTTTAAACTAATTTCTTCCTTGATATTGTCGATGAGAACCAAAGCAATATCCTTCATGACAAGCTCGACATAAATGTTGATGGTGAGGACCACTTGCTTGACTTGTTCGTTGTTGAAGTCCTTCTTCGGAAGAAGAAGAAGAATATTGAAATATTGGTAATGTAAAATTTCGATGTGAATAAAATTGTTCTATTAGTATTCGACATACATTTTTCATAACTCGAGTTGCTTCACTTAAATACCACGATGGTTGAATTTCGCTTCCACATAATCGACATTGTTGTGTACATAATTTTATATACAAAATATTATATTGATAAATTCTTGGGATTGCTGCTTGAAATATAGCTCTGCCACGTGCTGTTGTCCATTCATTTCGACAATTTAAACAACGATATTTTATTTTTGCATTATGAGATATTATTAATCTATCATGTGGATATAAAAATACTTGAGCCGGAGTATAATCATTCACATGAGGATCATAGTTCCAACCTATTGGTAGAGGAATATCTGTAAAATACAGATACCATCGTTCTAAACTATCATTAAAATTCCAATTTAAATTAATTTCCAATTCAGCATGAAATGCGTATGTAAAATTTGGACAAATTATAAATTTATCTAAATTACTCACTGAACGAGCTTGATGTACACATGTTTGGTAATCTAAATAAATAAAAAGAACAGGTTATTTTTATATTTACTCAAAATGACGTCACCTAGAAAATACCAAGTACTGTGGTTATGACTCATAATATAACGGAAATTAAAATGACTTACCATTTTCATTCAGGATTCTTTGTAATTCCATGAACGAATAAGAAAAAAACGATGAATATCTTATTCGTACTTGTTGATGTTAAATTGTTGTTATTTTCTTTTTTCTAAATCAATAAAAATTGTGTTCACTACTAGATCATAAACTCATGAAAAATACAATGAAATAATATTTTGATTTTTGTTTTCTATATATTCTTCAATTTTCCAATATTTTTTGATGGCATCTGATAATTATGAAGAAAAAGAATAATGTCATGTATTTAAAAAGAATCAACCTGGAATATACCATTCATTTCGATACACCTCCGTATTTCTCTTTATGTGATACTCATGACATGTGTTTATTTTTGTTGTTTCTAACACAGAAAGAAACAAGAAGTAACCAACACTGATTTCCTGAAGTTAAAATGTTGGGTTTTTTTCCATATAACACATAATCATAAGTATACAACCTACGATTTTTTTACGTCATATTTTGTCTATTGCATAATTTCTTCAAATGACTAATACCCATTTCAAAAAGGAAGAGTGAATACTTTTTTTGAATAAATTTTGCTAGAAACTAGATAGAGCGGTTTGGTTCTCACCGTTTAAAAGAGGAGATGAAACTGCATCGAATAGTCTATATCAGATTTTTTTCTGATAAATTTTCTCAGAGTCTCTCGCCGATTTTTTTCGAAAAATGCAGACTTTTTAATAAGTTTATAAGGTGGATTTTTCGTTAAAAGAATGATAAAAAAAAAAGATCAATTTTCTATGAAAAATCTATCGATAACATGCAGTAAAATATATATAACTCATGATTGGCTAAAGTTTACAACATCGGACTTACAGAATTTATAGATCTTCAGCTAATGATTCTATTGCACTCCTGAAAATTGAGATCGTAAAAGTTTTACATTAGATAATCATTTGTGTTTAACAAACTTGATGGTAGACTCTGAGAAAAAAAAATTAGTATAGACGATTCGATGCAGTTTCATCTCCTCTTTTAAATGGTGAAAACCAAACTTCTCTATCTAGTTTCTATCAAAAGTTATTCCCAAAAATACTCATCCTTTTTCTTTTTGAAATGGGTATTAGTTTCATGAGATAGCTTATTTGATTCATTTAATTATAAATAACAAAGTATTAAGACAAAAAAAATATATATATGTATTTATTTATATTTAACTTGTTGAAGCTCGTTTAATAATTGTATATCGAGTAAAGGATACAAGAAATATAACAAGACTAACAAATGTAATTAATATAAAATAAGTTATGAGTATAGATGCTAGTGCACATAAAACAACTGTTTTATGACACCAAATATCAGGATTTTCTAATAATTGTTCAAAATGTGGTGGATATCCAATAGTTATTAACCAATAATGACCTAAAAAAAACCATATTATAAGAAATGATGTCATTAAAGCATCAATAAATGCATGACCATCATTATGATCAGATGATGGTTCTTCATCATTTAAAACTTTTTGTTGTAAACGATATTTATGCCAAATATTTTGAAGAAGTTTTGTTGTCCATACAATACCAGCAACAAATAAATAAATTGGTAAATTTGTTTGACGTGGACAATCATTTAAATGACTAACACCTAAACAAAAAAAACAAAAAAAAGAAAAACTGTTAGTATTATCTTTATGGGATTAAAAAGGTGAAACATAATGTAGTTGCTATTACTAATCATTAGAAGATTGTTTTATTCTATCGATTTTCAAACATACTTTCTCACTGTCATTTTACTTAATCCTTCAGATATTGCGATAAGGAAGTAAGGTAATGGGAAAAAATTTACGAACATATTTTTGATTTTTTTTTTCAATAATGTTAAGCAATTATCTTAAATACAGGTAGTGATTTTAATAGCTAATGAAGTTTTCTATCTAATGCATTGTACACCAAAATTTCATACATGAACTATGATGGTAAGATTTTTAAAAAAAGTCGAATATGATAGTTCTTCTATGAAATCTTGCTATAGAATGCATTAAATAGAAAACTCCATTGATTATGAAAATAACTATCTGAATTTGAACTAATTACTTACTATTATAGAAAAAAAAAATCAAAAATACTTTATTTTTAACCTTTTTTCCACTACATTAGTTCACATATTATAGGATAGATGTTATTGAGATACTGTCTGTGATGGAGAAGGACGGGGATGCGTTTTCAAGGTATCTTTAATGTCTTCATGATATTATCTGTCCTGCTCTATGAGAGGAGGTAGCGTACAAATGGTTACTCTATATACTTCAATACTCGTTTTACATCATGTTTCACAAAAATACAAATATTTGTCGCTTGAAAGATAAAATATTTTTTTACATACCAATACCCATCATTATAATAGGAAGAATAAGAAGAAGACCAAGAAAAATTGTTGCTCCTTCTAAAGAAAATAATTTATTTATAGATTTCAAAATTTTATGTATGTAAATTTACTTGTTTTCATAAGTACAAGTATAGTTTTTTTAACAAATTCAAATAATGATTCACAATCAGTATATTCTTCAATTAAACGTGAACGTAAACTACCATAATGAGGTGTTTCTTTATGAAAATCAATACTCCATTTCGATGCACGTGATTCACTCTAGATGAAAAAAAATTCAAATTATTTAGAAAAACAAAAGAATAGAAAAAGAAAACTAAAACATAATTTATTTAATATTTATTTTCATACTTTTTGTATTGTAGGAGCATTTCTCGATGATCCATCCCAATAGAACATAGAAGTAATTGATTGTCGGCCACCTATACCTCCTAAGGTAGCAAGAATAATAGAATAAGTTAATGATATTTGTCTATATTTACTATCATCATTCAAATTTTTTATGCTTAAAAATTGTGTTGAAATATCTGATGCTGTTGATATTGATGCTCGATCATTTGGTTGAGATTTAAATGGTACAGATGTTGATGTTATACGTCGATTTGATGATGTTATTGTTGGAATATGTATTGATGGTCGTCGACATACTGTACTTCGACGACGTGAAAATGACTCTGCACGCCGTTTTAATTCTAATTGTGTACATACAACACTTTCAAATGTTAAGGAATTCTTGTTATTCGTTGATGTATTTGAAATCATTGTATTTAGACAATGAGTATGTGGCATTGTTCCTCGTCGAGCAGCCTATATTTATAAAGAAATAATAATTGAAAAAATAAGTATGATTATTACTTTAGGGAATCTAATTCAATGAATTACGGTAAATATGACTAACAGACAAATGTTAAACATATGTCTCAAGTGTTCTATCAAGTGAAAAGAAATGTATAGCAGGAACATAACAAAAAAAGAAAACAAGTGTTTCTTTTGATTTATAATAATAGTCATGTCATTTTGTAAAAGAAAATCAGAATATTTCTTTGCTCTTTTTTTTCTCTTATATTCAAAAGATGCCATTTTACAATGATTAAATTTAATAATTAATCAACAGAACAATAGATAAATCAAAGATTTGTTTTTTTTTGTCTTACCGCTGCTAACATTGTCGATATTTTTGTTTTATAGAGATATTAGTTATAGTGATGTTTTTCAAGTAATCAAGAAATCTATTATCTGTTGAAGTAGTCTATCTTATACGATTTGTTTTTGACTTTTTTCTTCCGCTTTTTATCTCTCTCTCTCTCTCTCTTTTCACTCATTCAATTACATACATAGACGATTCCTTAGTAATACGATGAAAAACATCTTCATCTTTCTTTTTTTTGTTTTGTATTCGTTTGACCATGTCATCATCGAGAGTCGTTCGGTTTCTATTTAGTCACTTTGTTATTCTTGATTGTCATCTCGTTCACTATCTAGCTTAAATTTCTTACGGAAATTCAATTTTCTATCTGTACACTGTATATATCAAACAAAAAATCGATGCGCAATTTTTTTCTTCTTTCAATATTATTACATTCTACACACGTAGGATTAACAACATCAAAAGACGAAGATAAATGCTAATCATGTCTTGTTTTCTGTGCGTATGTGAAGTAACAAAAACGAAAGCTTTACATAGAAACAATTTGATTCCAAACTACACATTTTTTTATGTTTTACTTGCCTATTCCTATTTGTATTATTCAACAGACTTGAATTAATATATATATATAGTATATATATGTCATATCCTATTATATTTATATGAATAAATATGCTTAGAGTTATTTGCATATAGTAAAACTTATTTAGGTTCTGATTATCAAAGACAAACTACACTCGACTCAATACTTTATCAACCCGTGTGTAAGTATAACATTATTGATAATAAAAAAGACAATGGATAGTAAAATTTATTAAATATAATTGAGAGTAATAAAAGTAATAAATAATTATAAACGTATTCAGTACGTTACATGAATATTGTAATAATAATCAGTTTGAGCCATATGACAATGAAAAAGAAAAAAGATGAATCAAGAATATTTATAACGACTAAGTTGTTATCATCATCACCTTCTCAAGTATTATAACAAGAGCTCTGAGAACTATCATCGAAAAACATCTACAACTCAAAGCAATATAACAATCAGTGACATATTCAATATGACCGTTTGTCTTTCAAGATTTTATATAAAGATAAGATATCATTGTTATCGATAACAATGATAAGTAAAGAAGATTGGTTTTATTTATGACTAAATTAGGTAAGAGATTATATTTCAAGCACATATATTTATATCAATATTATGTCTATTCATTCAAAGCAGAGATTATTTTTTTTCTTTCATAATTTTAACTTTACAGTTCTTCTAATAATCATATCGCTAGTATGAAATTCTAGCCACAATCATGTTTATCATAGACTATTTATTATTTTCTCAGACGCGTATTAAAAACTCACTAATATGACAATAATAAAAAAATAATATCAATGGAAGACTTTTTAATCTTCTTTTTTATTCTCTCTTACATGTAAAATAACAATACTCAAAAGTAAATACAGATAATTGGTTTTTCTTCCATCTTTGTCTAATAATAAAAATATCGTTTTTTGTTAACAATAGAAAAGATTGTACTCAAAGTAATGATTATATTGATATAACATGTAAGTTTGTTTTCAAGATTGACATATTGTTTTCACTATTTATGATTATAAACATGAGTCTTTTTTTTTTCATGATATTTTCTATCTGCTCTATTTCATGGAAGGTTACAATTCGATGATTTATAATGGAAGAGTTTTCTTTTTCTTTTCTAGATAAGTCTTAATTTTTATAACGGAACACTTGAATATGACAAGAGCCAGATATCCATAAGAAATAAAAAGAAAAATACATTGATAAGAGTGTCTATAAAAAAAACAATAATTATTTGCTCATTTATTCGTAGTTTATATTCAAGAATATCATCTAAAAAAATGGATTTTGTAATTGAATATAAATTACTAGTAATTCAAAGATCGATCAAAAGGATATCAATTGTGATATTTTTACATGGTTCAATAGAGTTCAATGAACTCTACAAGAATATATATAATCAATTGTATCGATTCTCATTATGTTAGAAATTTATGGAGCAGCTTCTCTCTTTTTTTAGTGAATATGAGACCAGGAAAAAAGTACGTATTTTTTTAATTTTATGTTTGAGTATTGTTGAAAAAACCGATTTCTTTTATTCCTTAGACAAAACAGTCACAAAATATGGTTGTATTTTGTGGTTTTGACTATCGAAAATTGATTTTTATGCCATATAAATACGATTTTAAGGATTAGCACAAAACCCTTCATCGAATAGATTATATTTTAATGAAAAATATTTTTGGTCTACACGGAGTGCTAGAGAAAAATTGACTGAAAACTAGCTTAGGAAATACGAAACGGAGGACGAATTTTGACGAAAAACTTTTTTAAATAAAATATAATTTGTTCAATGGAGGGTTTTGTGCTGATCTATAAAACTGTATTGATTTTGCATAAAAATCAATTATTGATAGTCAAAACCACAAAATACATTACCACATGTTGTGACTCAATTGTTTATGGTATGAGGCAAAGGCCGAAAACGAATAGAATCGATTTTCGAACCAGTAAAACTCGGTTCGAACCGGCCACTGATATGAAAGAAATCGGTTTTCTCAAAAATGCTCAAATGTAAAATTAAAAGGATACATAACTTTTCGCTGGCCTCATGTTGAGAAAAAAGATCCTGTAAATTTCCAAGATAGCAAGAATCAATGTGTCTGATGTTAATGCATTTTAATGGAATTTTGGGTTCAATTTATTAACCTATTCTTTCAATACTACTCTTTAAAATATTGTTGATATATTTTTTCTTATAAAGCTCATAGAGCTCTATCGAACTACGTAAAAATACCTTAACTGATGTTTTTCTATCGATATTAAATTGCTGGCACTTTTCCCCAAGGCAATGCTTCTGTATCTGTGATACTTGTTTATAATAATAGAGAACAGTTGTTTTTATTACCTACATATATTGGAACTGTCATGCAATCGTTTCTTTAATACTCTTTGTTTAATAATTTATAAGAGGCTAATCTATCGAAAAAAAATCCTTAATTGATAACATCAAATGTCGATATGCTAAGAAATCATTTCTAATATTAAAACAGAAGTAAAAATTTTTGAGTCAATTACTTACTTGACTTATGAGAAATAAAAAGATTTTTTCACTGTTATGAATTCAATTTATCGATTAAGTCTTTGAATGAAGGATAACGATGAATAAAATTCTTTTTTTAAAAAGTAAATTATTTATCTGATCTCACTTATCCTGTTAAAAATGCTCCACATTTGAAAAAGTACTCATTTCAATTTGATGTAAGAAATTCACTACAAATTGGTCGACAGAATAATATGCACTCGAACTTTTAATACTGCTGATAGGATTTATTACTATCATTAAGATTATGTTACTTCATAATGGATCTATCAGTAGATGATTTGCCTATGGTATAAACGTAAAATGATCCTTCTTATTCCATTTTCAATATATAATTATCAGCTTTTTTTTCTTTTATGTCAGACATGGTTAGTACATTAGTTCTAAAAAAAATCAGTGAAATGTAAATTTTTTTTCTAAGCTATAAAGATAACATTGCTGGAATTTAAAACTATAACTAATGAGTTAAAACTCTGAATAAAAAAAATCGTTTATTTTTATCAAAAACTCACGTGTTTATTAGATTCTTCAACTTTAATAATAGCTGAATTGAGATCAACTGATTTGTTTATTGTATATAGTTCTATTTTATTTGAAAACTTCTAGATGAAATAAAACTAATAATAAGAAAATGTCGAAAACAAGACTACGAGAGTACGCACACTTGAGTTTGACGATCAAAACAAAATAGAAAAAAAAGCCGAAAACAACATGAACTTGCTACTCTTTCTAATTATCATATATATACACATCAATATGCATGATTATTAATGTAAATTGAATAAAAACATTCTCTGCTAAATGTTGACTTTTGTAAGAGGAAAAAAAACAGATCTACTAATATCATGAGTAATTTCTCTTATTTTGCACATTTCTTTCATGTATAACAACAAATAGAATCAAATTCCTTAAATATAAACAAACAATATTTTAAACTGAAATGTCTCGAAGTCATTTTTTTTATCATCTCTAAGAATTGATTTAAATTCATGTGAGATATTCTACTTATTCAGTAGAAATAAGATGTATTAAAAAACTAAAATGTTCCTATTTCTGTTTTATGAATATACAAGTCAAAAGAAAGACATGAACGACTGATAAAGATGTTTAAGAGAGAAACCGTGAAGTCATTAGGTTTACTAGGTACTCGATTAAAAAAATTCTTTTTTTGTGCATTCAGTCCATCCATGTCTGAAATTACCAACGCCAAAATTTTAGTATCCAGTATCGTTTCTTTCAAATGTTAGCCAATACTGACTTTTTACTCCCTGTCGTATGCTTATGAGAAAAAAAAACCAGGAAAAAGTATATGATAAAAGTTGTATGTGCTTTTGTTTAAGTAAGTTACTCAAATTTTTCACGAATTAGATTAAAAGATAGAAAATTAAAAAGTGAACAAAATGAGATGTTACAATATAGTACATAGTTGATCGACTCAAGTTTTATAAGATTAACACGAATGAAAAATAGCTCTCTTGAGGAGCGCAAAAATGTTTGTTTGATAACAATCTATCTCTTGTCAGAATTCCGAATTAGAGAGTTATTATAAATGTTAAACAAGTTTCTATTCTATACAAAATGCCAAAAAAATATTCAAAAATAAATGATATGCTCGAAACGAAACAAGATTCACGTCTCTCTCTCTCTCGTACATACTGATTTTTCAATAGAATAAAAAATCATAGCAGTTTTCATTGTCATAACATAATTTTAAAGCAAAATAAACACGACATTCCGAATTAGCGTCGAAAACTATATTGAGTCAATTAAATTTTAGAGAAATTCATTTTAATGAAAAATTCATCTGTGATCTTTCAAAGTTGTATTTTATTAAAATTTTACTCCGTAATACCTCAAAGATCAGTTTTTTTGCAGGAAA